CCTTGATTCTCTCCGGAGATCATGCAGGAAATAGTAGTAATTATAATGCCTACTATTGATATGTTACAATCCATCCGTTAAACAAGTTGTTATGCTCTAATGTCTCTTTATATTTTCATTAAAAAGTTGTCTTCTTTCCATCCCATGTGAGTAGATATCCCGAGTCGTCTAGCTTCAAGTTTTTAATAACGTTTACTAGGTATCCTGCACTTTGATCTGGTGTAAATACATTATCGCTTGGTTTCTTCTTGAGATATTGTCTCGATAGATCAGTGTCAACTATGCCAGGATAGAGTGCAACAGATATTACATTTTGTTTGCGATGTGTAAATTCGATCGAAAGAGTTCGTGTCAATTGGTTTAAAGCGGCTCTGGCAGGGACGTAGAATATCGGTCAGACGTGAAATAAAAGAGAGAGGTACAAAAAAAAACAAAAACAAAAACAAAAACAACAGCAGATGTATGAAGGCAAGCGCTTGGACCACTCACTTGCTTGTTCTGTACGAATACCTATGAAGAATCGATCGGTTAGAGCGATAATTGCGTACTGTAAAGCGTCTCTCTGATATTTGTACAGTTGATCATCATTAATACTCACCACCCTCCCAATAAACCATCCGTAATACTACTAGTCTTAACGGAAATGTTGGCAACAATTGCGAATTTCGGCAATAAATCCATTGAATCTCCAGCTTCGTTCTGCTCCTCGCGGTGTGCCTCCAAATCCATATCCAATAACTTTACAAAATGCTTACAAACCAGCAGGTTACCAGTAGCATTAGTTTGAAAGTTTTCGGCCATTAAATCAACGTTGATTTGATCCAGCGATTCTTCCACGTGTAATATTCCGGCAGAATTTATCAACAATCTTAATGGCTTTTCTCCGTGGTTCTTTTTCACTTGTTCAGAACAATTGACGATAGTGCTTTCTCTAGTCACGTCCAGTTTATAAACGAATAGACGGCGAAGGAGTGACGAATCGAGTGTGGACGTAATTTGACTTTGACTAGTTTCAGGGTCGCGGCATGTTGCTATTACATCGTAGGGCGTGCGTAAGAGGAGAGTGCGAACTAATGCTTGTCCTATTCCTCTGCTTGCTCCTTGGACAAGTACAGTTGACATTGTTGAAATTAAATTTTTTCGAGTGTGCATTTCTGTGACACGCTTTGCATTTTATGAGATAATTTTTCACGTGGGAACTGATATTCGATCTATGACATTTTGATTGTTTCCAAATGCAGAAATACAAAACGAACAATTGAGAAAAATGAGCTTGAAAAGCTATGAACAGTCAATTTATGCGCAATCGGAAGATTACTTACAAAATAGCATCTAAACCATAAAGCTGTTTGGGAAGCCCTGAAAGAGGAGCTGCGCGGTTCTTTCTACAAGCTTGACCAGCTGCAACTTTTATTGAACGAAATATTTACTGGTAACGGGTTGTGCAGATAATGGTTAAAGACTTTTTTTGCAGCCCCTCTTCATTTCCCTCGATGCTTGCTTTATAACTAAATACCTATTCTACTAATATTAATATTGCTCTTTTTGTTCCTTAACCAGTGTAAAACAATGACTGATGTATGACAATAGCTATTGCTTGTGCAGACGGAATTTCAAGACTATGATGTCATAACATGAGCAATTCGTGACACTTAGCTCGTTAATTTCTCGTTGCATAAGAACTATCCAAAGGCGTTCATGCGATGATGCAGAATAGCCATCACGCGTTCGTTACAACTACCAATTTACGATTCAATCTGATCAGAGATACGCAAGGTGAGAATTGTTATCTCTAAATACAAACAGCAAATCTCGCCATAAGCAATTGTTAAGCGTAATTACGACAGTCAAATAAATAATTATTATTACTATTGCTAGTAAAACAATTGTATGTGTGATATATACAGTACTTACTGTATGAAATAACTATAGTTTGGTACAGTAAGGTGTTCAATATATAATTGGAAAAACAAGACAAGTTCTAAAACATTATTAGAGTGAAAAGTTCATTATACAGATAGAATGGACATGGTAAAGTTAAAATCTAATCGATTAAGAGAACCAATATCACTATACAGTAGTTACGATTAGTAAATTACTCGAGAATATTATTCTCACTTGTCTATTTCTACTTAAAATCTTCTATGCTTGCTCTGGCCTTCAACATTGTAGATTGAGGTCAGTCAGCTGCCAAACCCTCGTACAGCTCTTATGGCTTGTATAGTCCTGTGCTTTATGGCACATCAGGCTGTAGAGTCAAACAATAAATTGGATAATGAAGACGTTGGAAAGAAGTTTAGTTGTTTACTCGGGCAATTGATAATTTTAGCCTTAAAGAAACTGCTGTTGTCTGATCTCATTTACCTGATGAATAAGCAGTCCCCGCCGGTAATGAAGTAGGAGTCATTTAAATGCTGTGATTCATCATCTTCTCTTGGAAATGTTGCCTGATATCTTGATAAATAATTTCCTTGCCCCGCCGAAAACCCCTGATCGTACGATATTCGCCGCAATGACAATTATCGGTATTAAGAAGCGTCTAACAATTTTGGCACATCCTTGTAATCTGTTCTTCTCGGATGCGCATGTTAGATATCTTCTTTTGAATTTCTATCATTGTATCACTAAGTTGGTTTTTACCTGTGGTAGGTTTCCTCTAAGATATGTGTCTATAATTTTAAATTTATTTATATGTACATCTTTCCCTCATTAGCACTAGTCTTACGTATGTATTAATTAGTTGAAAATGCGCCTGGCAAAACATTACGCGTCCCATGTAGTTGTGCTATTTTTTTTCTTTCGCTGCTTAGATTCGTATTCATGCCAATCTCCTTGTAATTTAGGAAGCCTAACAATTTCGAGAGTTAGATGAGTTGACGCGCAATCATAAGTGGATATGAATGGATACCATCCTTAAGTGATTAATACATACTCGTCGGGTGAACATGCAGCAGGTTCTTCGGAAGTAAAATACTCGAATTTCAGTGCTCCTTTTGCAGACGGTCGTTTCGATGGGTCGAGCGATAACAGAGCCTCAACGAGTTCCATTGCTCCCAGTGATATCATGCTTTACAATAAGAAACACATAGTAATTAGCCATTGTCACAAAACTTTTGGCAAAAAAAAAAAACAAAAAAACAACGTAAACAAACTCCTATCATCTCAAAAGTGCATACTCACTCTCCATATACACTTTTAAGTTTAGACTCATGCTTCTCTTTGAATCTTATTAGATTATACCAAGGCAACTGCAATATTGACGGCCAAGTCTCACGTGTAGGCGTACCCAAAAGTTTATATATCAACTCTAATTGATTAATTTCATCTGTCCCTTGGAAGACCGGCTTTTTAGTAAACAGTTCCAACATTATGCATCTAAATGTTTATCGTGGTATTAACACACCAATATACGTTTTATGTAGCAGCAATTCGATTATCACCGGATAGTTACCCAGCACTCCACAAATCGACTTCTGGCCCATACTCAGTTGCACCAAGACACAGCTCTGGTGACCTGTACCATAATGTAATCACCCGATTGGTGTAATCGGCCGCTCTTCGCTTTTGCAATCTGCGAGCAAGTCCAAAATCTGCCAGTTTCAATTCTCCATTATTGTTAAGTAGGATATTCGATCCTACAATTAACCTTTATTAGTAACACTAATTAATAATATTACCCAAACTAGTGCCCATTCTTACCTTTTATGTCCCGATGCAAGATCTCGTTTTCGTGTAAATAAGCAAGTCCTTCAAGGAGTTGCTTCATTAAACATTTCACATGATAAGGTTCGAATTTCAACTGCGGATTTGACAACACCCCAGTTAAATCGTGATCCATATACTCAAAGACCATATACACGTCACCTAAGGCAAACAGCAATTGAATAAATTGATTATAAAGTATTACATTAACGATGCTCATACACACCCTTGAACACCATAATTTCCAACAGGCGCACTATTTGCTGATGGCGAAGAGTCTGAAGTAGTTTAATTTCCCGCAAGGCCGTAATAGGAAACTGTATTATCAGCAAACAAAAAATCCCATTTACAAGTTCAGCGATATGAAGCACTTATCAACAGCAAATTGTTGCACCCTATCGACATTGAACTTCCATTACTTACGCCTTCTTTCTCGGTCTCCATTCTTATCCTCTTTAAGGCAACTATCTGGCCTGTCTTCTTATTTCTTGCCTTATACACTTTCCTATAATATATCCGGTTAAGGTCAGCAGTCTCACTCTTTACTCACATAAGATCAAATACTAAAGACCACTGCATACTATACTGGCCGAATAGATAGCAATTGCATCGACAATGAAGACTTACCCGTAAGTACCCTCTCCAACTTGTCCCAACTTCTCATATAGTTCAACAGGTTTCCCACTTAACGATACTGGTGCAGGCAGTTGCGGATTCGCCTGAGCGCGCCTAGTAAGGGGCTTTTCAGGGGTCATATTTGGAACTGAACTCGCAGTAGGAGGCGGTGCACTTATTACTTGATCACTTGTCGTGGACGATCCTAATATAGCTGTATTTGACGTCCCTGGTGGATGGAGCATTGGCACTGGCGGTGCAACACCTAGCGGATGCGGGTGTTTTGCAGCTGTCCCAGGTGCCATCGATATTGTTCCAAGAGGTATTGGCGCAGACGTTGGCCCAGTTGTTGTCGCGTTTCCTGGAACACCCGACGGTTGACTAGGTTTGAGAGCCATCGTCGACGCGGTCGGCGGAGGAGCCAACGGAGGGACTGTATGACCCTGCGGTGGAACCTGAGGCGACAACGAATGTGGCCCCGGTCCCAAATTACCCATATGCGAAGATGGATCTGGTGGTCGAGTATTTTGTGGATGTGAAATTAACACTGAATGCATCGGATGTGTAATCTGTGCCACCCCGGGAGGTGGAGGCGCTATCCCAGGCGGAATGGGATACTGCTGTGGTGGTTGTAACATGTGCGGCTGATGCTGTTGCGATGTATAAGCTGGCTGCTGCCGGTCAATATCCCCAAATGAATAATTTATATTGTCTCCAGCGTTTAAATACCCGCTGTATTGAGATGCGTACTGATCGTACGACGCTTGGCCGTAATAAGCCTCAGCATAATGATGTCCGGGGGGTTGAGGTTGTGGATATCCAACATTATTTTGTTCCCATGTAGATATCTGTGGAGGTAATTGTCCTTGAAACGGGGCCGGTTCCTGAAAGTTTTGGTCTGCGTAAGGAGGCAGTTGAGGATGTTGACCGGGGGCTCCGGGCATACCAGCTGGCCCAGATTGAGGGAGTTGGCCAGGTGGGGCAGATGGGGGAACTAGTGAGCCAGGTTGAACGTGTGATCGGAGTGGCATGTGCGGTGCTGGCGGAAGGTTGTGATGTTGATGAGCGGATTGCATAGATGCATGTAATGGTTGCTGTGGTGGATGTTGTGGAGGATGACGATGAGGGTGTGGTGAAGAGTGTTGAGGCTGGTGCTGTGGTGGATGTTGGGGCTGGTGTTGGCCTGGGTTTTGTAGGGGGTATTGTGCCAAATGTTGTGGTTGACCTTGAGAAGAAATCTGTGATGGTATTTGCGATGAATGTTGAGAGGTCATCTGAGGCTGATGAAGTGAAGTCTGATGTTGTGGATGTGGTGGAACAGACGGAGCGTGTTGTGGTGGACATTGTGTTGGAATAGGAGATGAATGTTGTGCTGGTATTTGCGATGAATGTTGAGATATCATATGCGATGCGTGTTGTTGAATAGGTATCTGTGATGAATTCGGTGCTGTTGTTTGCGGTGACTGTAATGACGACAATTGTGTAGGATGTTGAGAAGTATGCGGCGGTGTGTCGTATGTCGAATGTTGTGGAGTAGCAGGTATAACTTGATGATTCTGTGAAAACCGTTGTGGAGTGTTTGGGGAATATTGTGACCGCTGAGGTGATGAAGCACGTGGCGATGTTCTATGAGAAACGTTTTGATGAGATTGTTGTGAATTGTGAGATGTAGGAGACGCCTTGCTGGAAGACGTATTTGGCACAGCATTTGCAGATGATGAAGAGTTTGACCAATTACTCTGAGACGATGTAGACTGTTGGTATTGAGGATAATGATCCTGATTCCAGGTATGTCGTCTATTATGGCGAGGTGACTTACTTCTATTATGGTTGCGGTAAGAACGTGGAAACCAAGTATCTTGTTGAAACGGTCTCGAAATCCAGCTATCTCTTCTATCTCTATGAGATCCAGAATCACGATGTCGTGGTCTGTCCGAATAATGTCTGTTAGTCCAAGAATCCCTATTCTTCTCGCGGGATCTACGATCGTGGAAATTGTTCCTCGATCGCATTCTTGAATTCCCACTGTTACCCCCGTTTCCGCCGCCATTCCCTCCACCACCATTCCTCCATTGCCTTGGTCCCCTTGACCGGTTATGATCTTTGTGATAGTTTGATCTCTGCGGTGGTGACTCTTCACGTTTGTGATCACTCCGTGAAGACTGTGGCAGCGACGGTGGACCGTATGGGTTTTCTGCGGGACGAAAGCTATTCATTAGTTATATGCATGGAGACGGAGGGTTCGCGTTGACATCCTAAATTACAGTAAAATATGTGGATTCAATATAAACCGTATTGTGGCTGGCCCATCTCTGACGTTGAATTCTTGCGAATATCTTGTGTATGATTCCCACTGGTTCGTGAGTTGTAGCTATTCATCGAAATGGAGGGAATTCTAAGAGTGAGAACGATAAGGACTTGTCAAGTCGACCATTGTCAGTATTGGTTATGACCTAAAATGTCTCTATTACGTAATAGAACAATACAGGGGTATGTTTTAACGACGAATTATAATTATTATGTAACGGCTGATCTAAATTTTCTTGATCATCTACCTTATCTGCTTGTTTGATTGGTCGCGTACATCTTATCCTAACACGTTATCATTAGTAGCAACTCAAAACGTGTTTACACCACCAAGGAAGACCTCTCAGCTCAATCCGAATCTTTTTCAAAAGCAAAAATTCAATTTTTAATACTTGCCTAGTTGCTCGCTCGCATGAAAGTCGGCAGTTAGCGAATTATTCCTTCATTACTTATAAGTACTTTCATATTTTTCCCGCAAAACTGGCGACTTCAAAGTCAATCTCTTCACCGACGCAGTCAAAAGTCAACCGTACACCAAAGTCCTCGAGGACATCGAGTTCCATAACAACACTTTCGCCAAATAGAGGATCCTCGATACATAAGACGTCACCAAGTCGGAAACTAATAGGCAGAACCTCTCCCTCCGGGCAGAGCAAATTAATAGGCGTATTTAAGTCTGGTAAATCAGGTGGCAGAGTCTATCACGCTAAGAGAGAAGTTCAGAAGCTTAATGTTATTGGGAAAGATTGGATTGGTCCTGTTGAAGCGACTCCAAAGAAAGCCAAAAATCATGTGAGTTTGTACGGTTGACAAGAGTTTGGTACTAATTATTATATTTATTATATCAAGTCATTGAACTACCCTAAACTCTGTAATCTTTTCTATTTACAAGTTTGACCGATTTATTCCTAACCGTGAAGCGATGGATGAAGAATCCACGAGATTTAATATAAACACTCGTCCATCAAAGTCTCAAGACCTTGATGACGTTGACAGAGCTTACCAGGAGGAGATCGCACGCGCTGCCGGGATTTCACTCGATAAGCGTATCCTTGCGTTCAATGTGGAGCCACCAAAACCCGATAAACAGGATATAAGACTTCTGTATTCCAATCCTTCAGTGACCAAAGTTACTAATTGCATCAAAAGACGCATTATTAGCGCACCTGAACGCATTCTTGATGCACCCGGCATGCAAGATGATTACTATTTAAATCTATTGGATTGGAGCGTTAGGAATATGGTAGCAATTGCATTGGATAAGTCCGTCTACGTGTGGGATGCAGAAACTGGGGATGTTAGCTCAATGGCCTCTGTAAGAGACGATGAATATATTTCCGGATTAGCGTGGTCACAAGATGGCGAGTATCTTGCAATTGGAACTAGTTATGGAGATACTCAGATATGGGATATTGAGAAGGGATCAAAAGTTCGGTCTATGTTTGGACATTCTGCACGTGTAGGGGTGCTTTCTTGGAATAAATATATTTTGTCATCCGGTTGCAGGGACGGAAGTATTTGGCATCACGACATTAGGATAGCAGAACATAAAGCTGCCGAATTGTTAAATCATACAAGTGAAGTTTGCGGATTGAAATGGCGTAATGATGGTGCCCTCCTGGCCAGTGGTGGCAATGATAATAGAATAAATGTGTGGGATGCAAGATCAAATCTACCCAAATGGACAAAGAATAACCATCGAGCTGCAGTAAAGGTAAAAACATGGTTTATTATACCTACATACGATTTGTATAATTTATGTGCTCATTCATAAAACATTCGCGTGCACATATTCTACAGGCAGTCGCATGGTGTCCATGGCATGCGAATATCCTTGCCACCGGGGGAGGCTCACATGATCGTAACATTCACTTCTGGAATACTACCCAAGTAGCTCGCATACGTTCCATTGACACTGGTTCCCAAGTAACTTCTATCATTTGGTCTCGTGAATACAAGGAAGTTTTATCGACACACGGATTTCCTGACAATCATATTACGATTTGGTCCTATCCTGATCTCAAGAAAATTGTGGATATCAGAGCACATGAAACCCGTGTTCTGCATTCAGCTATTAGTCCAGATGGTCAGATGGTTGCTACGGCAGCCAGTGACGAGAATTTGAAATTTTGGAAGTTGTTTGAGAGTAAGAAGAAGGACAAATATAAAAATAATGATAAGGAGAATGGAGTACTTGGTAATTCAACTACGATACGTTAGGCGTATGAATAAAACAAGAAGATCGGAAGTGCTCGTTAAATCATAAATCGTTACACGTGGAGTAATATTAATATCTTCCCGTGCTTCATTGCCTGGTTGATCATCAGTCTTGCGTCTTTTTGTTTCTTGATGCTACATTGACAGTGTTTCATCTAATTTATGTTCCTAATTTTTAGAGGTCGCATATCGACTTTATCCATATATTCTCGTTGCAAGAGTTGTATCATGTTATTGACTTTTGTCAGAACGCTAAATTAATAGCATTCCCAACATAGTGCGAGAGACATAGATTTTACTATTGCTTACTTCCTTGGACATCCACACATTATTAATGTCATTACCAGTAAATTCAGTTTTATCGGTTGAAAGAATTACAGATACACGAAAATGTAATAGTTTATGTACAATCATAGAACAGGTGATATTATCGGAAATTCCACTTCGAGAAAACTGACACGGCCCTAAAGCTCTACATCTCAACCAACTCAAACTTTCCGTGTCGCTACTGTCACGTGAATAAATTTTAGAGTAGAAACCCGGCCAACAATTTACAGTGTTTACGACCTTGTAATTTTGCGTACTAATGGCTGTGATTCTGAGAACTATATTAATATACACAAGCGGACATAAGTATCCGAACGGTTGTATTACCTAAACGTACATAATAATAACCCTTTAAATTTTCCAGG